GTCATACTGAAAATCACTTTTTATTTCGCGAGAACTTAATTTTCGCGTAAATACGCGAGACAATGCGTTCGCGAAAATTAAATTCTCGCGTATAAAAGTATTCCTTACGATTATAAAGAGGAATGACAATTTTTCTTGAAAATTATGTTCAATGACAATCTCGCGAAAATTAAGTGATCTACAGTATTATGTCTCGTACGAAGTTACTGTAAATCAACTTTTTTTTGCGTGCGAGAAATTTTCGCGAAGTTCACGAGAGTCTCATCATCGCGAATATTTCTCGCCGCGAACTGGTCCTTAAAGTGCATTAACTACAGATCCAAAAAGGTTTGGTCACGAAAATTAATCGTCGCGAACTAGTTTATCCCTAGTAAATCGCGAAATAAAGTCGCCGCGAATAAAAGTTGGTTTACAGTAATTTAATCAGAGATTAAAATATATCAATTTCACTGATATTTTTTTATGATTACGTCACTAAATCATGTATATTTATCACTTAATAAAAAATTCAAAACAAAGTAATGAGTTTGTTGCTGTTTATACAAGTCAGTTAAAATTAATTGACATTCATCAGAGAGGAAAGCTTGAGTAGAATTGAAACTGGGCAGACTCTTACCATTTTGAAGACAAAAATTTGTCTCATAAAGTTACTTTTTAAAAATTCTTTTATTCAGACCCCCCCCCCCCCCCCCCGAAAAAAAATGGACGATAATCTGTTTAAAAATTTACATGTGGACGACAAATATTTCAACCAGAACTTGTCTTAAATTTACCTTTTAAAAATTCATCAAGTTCAAGTACCATTCAGATCATCGTGTGCCCAGATATGGAAAGTAGAGAAAGTGCCCAAAAATGGACCAATGGACTGATCTGCAAAATTCCCAAGAGAGGCAACTAACAGGAGAACAATAATTAAAGGGGTGACATTGTTGGCCCTAAAGCCAGCAAAGCATAAGCAGAATCTACATAAACAGAAAATCATTAGCAATGAACCATCTTCAGTCCAAGATAACACATTCATTTGCAACTCCATAAAAATGACAATATGTTAAATTATTATTATTATTAAATATATGATAATCATGATAATAATTGCTAAGTACTATAGTAAAACCACTTTAACACAATTTTTCTACACAACCAAACAAAAGCAAAAAGAGTGTGAATATCAATCTAAAAGTTATTTCCAGTAGATATGTTACAACCAGACAACAATATTATTTAAATTAAAAACATAAATGACAAATCCTGCAAATCATTTTATTCTACCATAATAATTTAATTTTTACTGATGCCAGAGAACCGCTTTTAAGAGCTGAGTTCACTTTATGCATAAAATGGTCCTGTCCTTATCTCAATTCATAAACTATCTCATCCTTTCCCATTTCATATATCAAAATAAAGTAGAGACTTAGTGCTTCCATTTCCTAAAATAAGACTATCTCCAGCGTAGGATTTAAATATGAGCACATCCCACGTGCACGATCCAAAAATGAAAACATGTTCTTTAATCTTCAGAAAGAGATTTTTCATTATGTTTTTGCAAACTTTGGATCAGAGGTTGTGCTCTACATGAAATATTGAAAAAAAAAATTTCAAAGGAATTTAAAGGGTATGGGATCATCAGTCATCGTTTTTGGAAGAAGAACATTTTACATCTAGTAAATAAAAAGTAGATCAAAGTTACATTTTTTTGGTTACTTTTCTTTGTTTTATGAAATATGTATCCATACGCATAAAAAGTTTACTAATGAACAGTTTTAACAGTCATTTTTATTCAGTTACATGTATCCCTAGCCTCAGCTTACTGCAAAATCTTTGTCATTCGTGCGTTCAAGGTTCGTGGGTACATGCAAGCACAATTTTGTTAGATCACGTGGATATTATTTCGCGAATAAATTGTATATTCAGAAGATTCAATGAATGAATATATTGCCAAAATGATTGTTCGGAGATGTAAATTCGTGGATGAGAATAACTTATGAAATCTACTTACACTGGTTCATTAAGATCAACGAAGATTCAACCGTACTTTCGAACAAAAAGGCAGTACGCGTGTCACACCATTACAATTCATGTTATGACCCAAAAATGTAAAATAATGGCTAAATGATTAGATTGTTTTTGCTGGCATGTTCATTGTATCGACCATAGAACTTACTAAATGATTACTTTAAACTAAACTGCTGATATTATTATGTGTTTAACTTTTTTATATATAACATTTCCGTTTTATTAATTTTCATAAGTAAAGTATGCTTTTTACGTAGCAAAATACATTTTAGGACTGTTCATAACAAACAAAAATATGAATACAAAATTATGATATAGATGACATATATCCAAATGGTTAGAAATAATTATTTTTTAAAATAATTATGTTAGCTTTTAAAAAAGCTTACAATCTAAGTAAAGTTTTGAGCCCCAAATCCGTTAAAATGTATTCTTTGTAAGTAAACGGTCAAATCTTTTTTATTTTTGTATCATTCTGTAACATTATATGACTTCTTTACCATATGTGAAAAAATTAAATAATCAAAGCATAAAATATAACTCACAGATCCTAAAAGTTTAAGAAAAATGAAGAAAATTTGGATAAACCAATAGTATTTTAGTTGAATTAGTGAGAATTACTTATGTCAAGTAATATTGGTAATATTATCGTATAGATCATTTATCACAGTATCTTTTAATGCAAAAAGAAAAACATTAAATCTTTTGAAATAAAAGTATAGGCACCATTCTTTTTTTATTCATAATGCCCAGGGAAAAGATAGCTACCTTGACCTTTCTTCTAATATAAAACGATCAAATTTAATTAAATTGAACCATCATCAAGTGATATTTTCTTCTTGAATATATAAAAATGTCACACATTTTTTTTTAATTCAATAAACATGAGAAGATTTTCTCCTTAATTAAAATCTTCAGACAGAAATGTCTAACAGATTTGAATTTAAAAACAATATTCATGATTTATCTTTTGATAAGCAGATCTATTCGGTAAAAAAAAATATATTCGAAGCTCCTAATTGTACGTTTTTGCATGCGCAGCTCCCATTACAATTTCGAATTAACCTATTCCATTTCAGAGAAGTATAGATTTTTAGACGGTTTCCTTAATCATTTCACGAGAAACATAAGAATAAAAATTTCTGTTGAACCTTTTTCTGAATTGAGTTAGTTTAACGTGCCCTTCAGCAGTTGCCACATATCAAACTTGGATATTTCTAAACTACAAATCTTATGATGTTGTCTTCGGAATACAATTTACCCTTTGCAGGCTTATTTATGCTGATAAAACCAAGGGTTTGCTTAATAACAGAATATCGGGTGATAGATATCAAATGAAAATCGAGGACTAGTAATTTCTCTACAAGCACATACTCATTTGAAATTTAGAAAATTAGAATTACACATGTGAAAAGGTAAACAACCATACTAATAGCCTAATTATTCAGTACACGTTTTTGTTAAAGAAAAGAATCTAGATAAGGAATTGAAGTACAGACTTTCCATGTGGTAGCTAAGACAATGTCGATAGTGTTGGGAATCTCTATGGTACAAAATGTAGCAACGTGAATATGATTGGACATTTTAACAAAACACAGAGACAAAAACAATGTTATAGACACCATTCTTACAATAAATCCATTAAACATGATTCTCTCTTGATTTGCTAATATTATATGTAAAAAGTCAGTTAGATCTGCATCATGTCTAACTTTGGGACGTTCCTTTAAAAGTTTAAAACTTTAATTAGAAAAGATATTATTAAGTACATATTTTGATTTTTCAACATCAAAATACCGACTCTGATCTGCTATTAAGGATATAGTACATAATTTTGCCTAAATGCTTGTAAAGTTTACATATTCCATTATTGCGTTTTTTGTTTCAGAATAAAATTTTTTAAAATTGAAATTATCCTTCAAAGTTAGATCAGATAAAAGAAGTATAAATTGAAGAGTCTACTGGGTTTGTCATTTAAATGAAACAAATGGAGATAACAAACAGTATTCAAGATCAAAAGTCCATAAAACAATTAATACAAAATAGGAACAGAGCAAACACGGACCTCCAAAATATCAGAGGTGTGATGATCAGGTGCCAAGGAGGAGCGAGCATCCCATGCAGACCGGTCACACCCGCCGTGTGCTCCTTGTCATGATCTGGAAATAACGGGAAAATCCGTCGTAAATCCAGTGTATAAATAATGGCTTAACAATTAGTATGAAAAACTTCAGTCAGCATTTGACTCAATGATAAATTGTATTTACTGACAATTCAGGGCTGGTCATGTAACTACTGAGCTTATGCTATTTTCAATGTTCTATAATATATTATATTTTATCACGATTGTCTTTCTTTGTTCATGCGAAAAGTCTATATATTACTTCAAACAGCATTAAAATGCATTTCACTAAGATATACTTCTGGTTATGTTTGTGAAATGGAAAGATGAAATTAATAGCTCCATACATTCCCATTATTTAATCGTTAGATCTTTCTTTTATTATGTTTATTGAAAGTTATGGAGCTATTAATATTGTTTCATTTTTACCTTAATTTTGATTTCTAAGTTTTTTTAAAGGAATTTTAGCAATAAAAATCAAGACAGCTTGAAGTTGATTTGAAATCTACATGGATATGGAATGAAATATTTCATTAAGACTTAGTTTGAATCAAAAATCTCAGTTGTCTTCTGAATGTTTGATTTACTCCCCTTTCCATAGGAAGTTTCATATTCAATTAAACATCCTCTACTTCAAAGTATCCAGAGAAGAAAAGAGGCAATATTTTTTATAATCTAAATTCATGAATAACATAACGAAAAACGTTCCCTATGACCTTTCTTAGGTTCCGTATCGAGGACCCATTATGCAACTTTTCTTATCTTCTTATAATTATTTTTAGTATGTTCCTTAGTAGTGGAAGTTAACACTAAGTGTGGACAAACATTTTATACATTCCGAACATTTTTTTTTCTGAACACGGTGATGCTTGTAGCCACATTGCTCTTTGTGTTGGTCGTCAACTCCAGCTCTTTTATTCTAGACGGACTTCCAAAGGCTGTGAACATATATGTGTCACCGCATGGAAATGACCATAACGATGGGTATGTATGAAGTATTGTCTGATTCAAAGATATATACTCTTATTCTGTTCGTTTTGACATTTTTAAAATAAGCTAGGTGTATTTTTCGAGAAAGGAAGTTTCTTTTTAAAAATCCCAATGACGATAAAACACGTCGGTGTTTGTTATTAGTTTGGGCTTTTATTTTATTTACAACAATAGCTTCTAATTTGTCGACAAGGAATAAAGCCTACTATTTTCATAATTTTTCATATGATGTAGCAATAAAAATTTTCATATACAGCTTGTTTTAAATTCAGACAAGATCTTCATCATCCAATCAAAACCATCAAAAAAGCCGAGACCCTTCTGAGTTCACCTAGTTTGCAAAATACAGGTAAAATATTACTTTCAAAACGCTTGAATCATCTGAAAGTTTAATTTTTAGTCATGAATCTTTTTATTCTCGAACTGATTTACTTGATTAGATGTGAGCATCAATTTACTACACGGCTACCATGATTTGGACGTTCCGCTGTACATACATCGACAGTCCCCCCACACACTCACCATCCAGGCTTATAACGACCAGGAAGTCCATGTGGTATTTTGTCTAAAATTTTAATCTTCATAGGAAACTCTTTCTCTTTCAAAAGAATAAAATTTCCTTGTAATCTAGTGGTTAATTTTGTGTATTACATCCATTTAAGTACTGTGTAATGAAAAAAGATTATCACTTTTACCCGGTTAAACAGAATGATTACTACAACACCTTCATGTACATTTGATTTTTAATGCTCGATCTTTACTTCTGGAAAAAAAGACTGGAACGTTTTTTTTTAATTCTAAATGTATTAAACTTGCTTTCCTTTTAGATCAGATCTCAAAGATGATAATAGAAAAATAAAGTGAAATACAAATTTAAAATCTTTCAGACGGGTGGGAAAAGGATACCTAGTAACTTGTTTCATGGAGTGACTGACCATTCCATCCTTCACCGTCTCCCGGCTGAATCCCGGAACAAGGTACTTTGACCATTTTGTTATATTTCCTCTACATCATCAGTCTAGAAATACAAAGAATGACAGATAAAATGTTTTCGGTATTCATGCGATTTTGTAAAAGTACAGGAATATAAAAAAGGCTAATTTTGTGCAAGGAGATGAAACCAGCATTTTTTAGATTTGTTTTTTTTAAAAATGTTTCAGAATTTAGAGTCTTAAGAAAAAAATTTTGGCTCTACCTACAGTACATGTCACATTTTAAGCATTCTTTCATCTTTCAGGTATATCAAGTGAGACTGTCTGATGCGGGAATAACAGACCTTGGACAATTAACTCCTTACGGTTTCTACACAATCAGACAGGCACCATTAGAGATATTCTATAATGGAGCCCCTCTCCGGTTGGCGAGATGGCCAAATAAAGGTTTCATCAACATAAAAAATGTCCTGAGTGGAACTCATGGGCGGCGCTTTTCTTACGACAGCGACAGACCGAGGAGGTGGTCATCCGAAAATGACCTGTGGACTTACGGATATTGGTAACAAAAATATTTAGTACACATTTGTAGATTATTTAAATGAATTTGTTTTTATTGTTTACAAAAATATATCTATGAATATATTATTATTGTCTATTTTATGAGGTGATGACAAATATCATCACTTGTAGTTACTAATGCAAGCATTATCAGATGATCCAAAGTACATCATGCAATAAGAAAAACCAAGACATTTTTTCCTTCTACAAGATACATTAATTTTTTTTCTCCTATATCAGAACAAGATATTAACGACGTTCGATCCTGATATTTAAAGTCTTAAACTTTTTTTTGCCAAGTATATTTTTATTTTCTAAATACATAGCTTAATTAAAATTGAAATAAACAAATGAGGGTCAATACGCTTCTTTTGGCGCTACAGTACATTTAATATGACCTTTTTGCACCGAAATTTGTGTCTTAATTAAAAATTATTTTTTTTTTACGTTTTCCCTCCAATATTTTTATCCAATTAAAGCATGAAACAAACTGAAATCTAAGTTTGTTTAAAAAAAAGACACATAAAAATAAAAAAAAAGATAAGAAAAAGTTTCAAATTGCTTTGCATAATCAATTATTTGACCTTTCTTCACTAATAAAATGTGATTTTTCTGGCATAGTAAATTTAACAAGCTTGAAAATTATTTTAAAGTCTTAAACTTTTTCTAATTTTAAGCAAATAGGTCAAATTTATCTTGAATATATAGAAAAGGACATCAAAAGTGCGGGTATATGATGTAAATTTTCAGATATTACTAAAAAAAGTGTCAATTTTACGTTAAAATTGGCTCAATTTTTTCCCGGATTTTCAGAATATATATACTATATTTGTAACACTTTGTTGATATAGTTCATAAAAAATAATTTAATAGATATTTCAGAACCAGCATCACACATTTCACTGCAAAAAACGGCTTTTTGGATGCAAAATTAACAGTACTGTTATATTCTAAATGGAAAAATAGGTCCAAAAAACGGCTTTGTTGCAGTACTGTTATAGTTCAAAATGGAAAATCTGATCATTTTCGTCTAAAAAATCTTCCGCCACAAAATATAGTCCCTAGCTTAATTCTACTTTAATGGAATTTAATTGCGTTTTTTTTCAGTGAATATAGTTAAGTTTGCACTGTAGAATTCAGATTTAATGTTAGAACTTAAAGAAGATGCAGTATTTTAGAAATAAAGGACCTGACCAAAATACGCTCAAAATCTCAGGATCGAACGTCCTTAAAGGATGTTATTTGAGTTTAATTTGGATACATTTCCTTCTTTTGAAATGAATAAAACTCTCCCAGATCAATATTTTGTTTTCTTTAAGTTCGTCCCAATATAACCTACCGTATAAGTAGAAATTTTAGCGAGAAGCAAATTTAGCGATTTGTCCTTAAAACTCGGTATTAAATTTTAAGCGAGAAGTAATTTTAGCGATTTCAAAATGCTCACTAAAGAGGCTATTACAACCTAAACGCAATTGTTTTTTAGCGATATTTAATTGTAGCGATCTCGACACCCTCGCTTATAATGCCAAAATTAAATCCTCGCTAAAAATTCTGCTTATACTGGTATTTACAAAGGTATAGGTATAAAATTAAACATCATTTAAGGAACCAATTTCTTAAATGCTGGAAATCTATAGACACTTTTCATTACAATTTTTATGAACTGGATGTTAATTGAACTTTATGTCAAATTAAAATTGGTATGTTGAAAATATACCAAAAATTGATATTGCTTCTTATCAGATCAGAAAAACTATAAAAAAAACCTTCTTTTTAAGTTTTGTTCCATCAGGTATTGGAGTTGGGCTGATTTGTCTGCTAAGGTCCAGTCTTTAGACGCCGTACATCACGAGGTGGAACTACAACATGCTACTCACTATGGTTTTAGGATTGGTATTAATGTTGTTAATATTGTATGAACAAACCAATGAATGTCACGATTTTTTGCAAACTTTATAACACAAGTTTTAATATCTTCATTTTAAATTCATAGGACATTTCAACAACCAGTCTAATGAACATGTAAAATATTCCAATCAGGGTGGATACTTCAGATTCCTTAACGTTTTGGGCGAAATTGATGAGCCGGTAGGAACTTATTGTGTAAATTGATATCAAGTAGATTTATTTACAATCATGTGATATTCCTAATTTTCCCAGTGTTTAATTTTCGTTTCATCTTGAGAGGACACGTACCCTGATGTTTATTATCCTTGGTAAACTTTAGGTGATGGTGAGTGGAAGACATCTCGGTGGAATAGTCAGTGGACAACAAAATAAATAATACGTGGATAGTTTCTAAAAAAGAATGACCAAAAAATTAAGACAAATATTTGTTTTCAGGGAGAATACTATATTGACAGATCCACGGGAATTTTGTACCTTTGGCCACCTACTTCCAATGGACTTATAAGCAACCATGATGTTATTTATTCGTCCCTGATAGACAACTGTATAAAGTCAGTTAATATTCTGTGGTTGTAGACTATCATTTCTTAGCGCTGCATAAGAATTATTTTTTTTTTTTACAAATCAGGAAAACTGGGTTTAATTTTTCCTCAATGAATCAAAGAAGGAACGATAAAAAATAAGCCTACTAAATCCAAGATTTTAATTTCAATGTTTATTTCTTGTCATTAATTAAGATGTATTGTATAATTAACATATTTCAATTACCTTTACGTTTCTTTCAGTTTTGATAGATCCAGCAATTTAGTTTTCAAGGGATTTACTCTGGAGGCCTGCAGGAGATTTGGATTGAAGGGGCACAACGTTAAGCAAGTTACTATTGAACAAATGGAGATAAAGAACACGGGTCAGTCCTTATTTAAACATGAAAATACAAGAATGTGTGTAATTAAGATTCAATGAATTAAAGTTACAACAGCTGATTACGGTTCAAATATAAGGATAAATTAAGTGTTAATATTATTGAAAAAAAATTCTTACAAGCGTAAAGTTAGCTTTTTTGTTTTCATTTTCACATAAAATGTGGAAATTTCAAGAGAGGCATATACGTATTTAAATACAGATAAGTTTTAAAAAATCAAATATTTCGTATAATGTGTATCTTTGTTCTTTATTTGATATTGTAATATAATGTTCACTAAAATTGATATTTTTTATCTTGAAAGATTTTTGTTTTTAAGTATGAGCAGTTGAAGCAACGGAATGTCCTGAACAGTTCTTTGATTTTCTTAAATTATAAATTATAACGTGCTGTTTAATTCTGTAATAATTTTCTGACATCTTACCAGGTTCTTATAACATTATTTGCTCCGGGGACTCACGCAACGTCACCATAAACCGCTGTAATCTGCATGATGGCGATGGAGGCATTTCTATTGAAGGCAAGAATATATAATACAGGAAGACTAAAACATTAATATGTACATACGTATCAAGGCAATTGAACATACGTGCAATAAAGAATTATGACATACACATGTACGTATATAACTTCCTACCATTAAAATTTCAATAAGTTATATAATTATATGAATGTGTGTATAAAAGAAATATGTTTGTAAATCAAACTTTTTCCTATTCCATCAACATTTTGAACATTTCGAAAGATGTTAAGAACTTGTGTTCGAACCATTTGTACACTATTTATTCGATAAAATAAATATCTGAATCTAAAGAAACTTCTTTACATCTGGCATTGTTAAGGAGGAGAGTTTACTACCCTAACCCCTTCTGGAAATCTAGTGACGGATAATCTTATCTGGAGGTTTAGCCGGGAGACGGGGGTGGGGGCAAATGCCGTGGACCTCAGCGGTGTAGGGGGACGAGTCAGATATAACAACATGCACACTGGTCAGTACACGGCGATACGATGGCACGTAAGTATCAAACTTTCAAGGGGGTCGATATCGCATTCTTACATGTACTAACAGAAGTCTATTCTTGTATGCTGCTCTTGTCAATTTTAGACAATATTAATGTTGTGTATATAATAATTATAAAAAATATAATTGATGCTACCTGATTAAATTGTTTGTTTCATTTTTTTCAATAAAAATTATATAGTATTAATCAGCGTGCAATACGAAACTATTATCAAAGAGTCCAATTGCGTATTAATGTCTCTCTATTTATTAGTGTTAGTGCGCCGCGTGAATGGTCGCATTTTTGCTCTCTGATATTATCAATTATTTTTGTGTTATTCTGTGTGCAATTCTGTGGATTTTTATATCAGCATGTTGGTAAAGACTTCAAGAACAAGATTCACTTGTTTGTTTGCGGATATTTTAGCATTCTTGTGCACATTTTATGGATTTATATTCAAACTTTTGTCGGTAAACCAGGTTGAGTTGAAATCATGCAAAGTGCTGACCGTAACTCCTATTGTGTACACCCCTGCCGAGCTAAAGTCGCTCAGGTATAACAATACCATGTCGTCTGTCAGACTTAATGAAAATGTAATGCATAAAATGAAACTATTTGGAATTAAGACGAAGGAAAACCGAAACAAAAAGACTGGAATACGGGAGTTCATTTAGATTTGTTAAGACCTCTTAACAGAAGGCTAATTAATTACTCAATAGACAAAAATCTCTCATTCGCGGTTGTGAACACGCAATCAATATGTAATAAAGTCGAAGAATTCATTCACCACATTATAGAAAACAAACTGGATATTTGTTGTGTTACTGAAACTTGGTTAAACGACAGTAATCCGAAACACAGAATTGTGAGATCCGATCTAAATATAACTGGATATACTTTTATTGATGTACCCCGAAAATCCCGATCTGGTGGCGGAACTGGAATTCTATTTAGAGACACACTTCAAATCAAAGTAATTGACTCTTGTCAAAAAGATTCATTCGAACATTCTTTGTTTGAACTAGCTTTTAATTCCAGGACTATACATATTTTGGTTGTATATCGTCCCCCATACTCGAAAGCCCATCCAGTGTCTACGGCGAAATTCTTTGACGAATTTACACCCTTTCTTGAAGAAATATTATCAACCCATCGCACGGTTATAATTACAGGAGACTTTAACATTCATTATAATAAAACTAATGACTTAGACACGATCGCTCTAAATGAAATGTGCAATGACATGGGTTTAGTGCAACTTGTAAACTGTCAAACGCATCGGTCTGGAAACATACTTGATCTGATCATGATCCGAAACAATGACAAAATAGTGTTGTCCGAACCGACCGAAAATTTTCAGATAAGTGACCACTGTTTCATTCATACATATATATCTCTTCCTAAGCCTAAGGTAACAAGGGAAATCAGAAAAGTTAGAAAACTAAAGGACATAGATGAAACGCAATTTCAGGCGGATCTAATCCAATTCAACGAAAGTGCCACCAATTATGAAAATTTAGAAGATATAGCAAAGTTTTACAATTCAGAACTCAGAAATATTTTAGATAAACACGCTCCGGAAAAACAGAAAATTGTTACTATTCGACCTTCCATATCATGGTTTACCCCCCGTTCACACATAGACGCCGCTTCTACTACGATCAAAGTGTGATCAAAAGCGTGGCCGATCGTGACAAATCGCAGGAGGAACGTCGTGGGGTCGTCAGAAGCGTAGTATGATCGCAATAGAGTCTTCATAATCGGAGAGCTCTACTCTCTCACCACACTTATTTTGAACATGTTCAAAACAAGCGTAGCGGGATCGTGGCCAACAAGAATCGGGGTGAAGTCGTAAAAAGAGCGTAGTAGAAGCGCCGTAATCGTACAAGCAGCGCGGAAGCATCGTAGAGAGATCTTTATGATCGTAGTAAAAGCGCCGTGAGAGCGTAGCAACTTACCAAGCACGCTCATACAACGCTCCCTCTACGTTCGTACTACGTTCTCACTACGATCTCTCTACGTTCCTGAAGATCCTACGAAGACCTACAATGACCTTACGCCGATCATATCACGACCTATCAGACAAGAATTTGTTCTTATACCGCTGATATTTGACCAATCATCATCTGTTAACTACATGTAAAGGGTGACACTATACTTGATGATCATTTACAATTGAGCATTTTCACATCTTGTTACAGTTATAATAATTGAAAATGCCTTAACTATGTGGTAAAAACTGCGTTCGCAAAATATGTACCATCGTTAAAATTGTTCTACAAAAATCTGCAGTTTCAAGATATATTTACATCATCACCAAAATCGTACTAGAAGCGTAATGCAATCGTATTATGATCGGCACCACCGGCGCGACATCGCGGTACAGTCATCTAGGTCTGTGTAGCGTCGTAGTATGGTCTTCAATGTCGTAGTGGCAGCGTAGCGTAAACGCACTAAACACGGCTGCTTGTCGGCAACGGTCTGCGTAACATCGTAGTAAAAACTTGTTAGCAGCGCGTTTGACGTAGGGACATCGTAGTACGGTCGTAACGAAGACCATAATTCGCCAAATTGCTCTATTTAGACGCCGATCGGCTGCGATCTGCCCCGATCCAAAAAATTTCAGATCGTGGCTTGATCGGGATGATCGCCGTAGAGTCGTAGCTCTGTGTGAACGGGGGGTTACAGAAGAATCGCGTCTCCTTAAAACACGTTGCAGGTCAGCGGAACGAAGATGGAGAGGAAACAAGACCCCGGATAATGACCACGCCTTCCGATGTGCTAAACGAGCCTACAGGAAAAATCTCAGATATAACAGGTATCAGCATATTAACTCAAACATAGCCGAATGTGGAAATGATTCTTCAAAAATCTATAAATTAATATTTGGATTGATTGGCAGAAAAAACTGCAATCCTATGCCGCTTAACGCCAGCGATGCATCACTGGCGGAGGAATTCAGTTCCTTCTTTATGGATAAGATTTTAGCCATTCGCAAAAGTTTAGACGATTTTGAAAAATTTGACCCAAACTTCGGACTTAAATGTACACAAGAGTTTAATGCCTTTGATCCAGTTTCAGATGAGGATGTTTTACGAGTGATTAAAAGTTCTAAGCCCACTACCTGCCCAACTGACCCAATCCCGTCAAAATTAATCAAACAATTTTCTGATGTGTTATTGCCAACAATTGTTTTCATAGTCAATAAATCGCTAACATCTGGTTTATTTGCTAATGAATGGAAAACTGCTATAGTTCGACCCCTGTTGAAAAAAAGCGGTTTAGATGTGATTTTGAAAAACTACCGTCCTGTAAGTAATTTAAGTTGTATATCAAAAATTGTGGCAAAATGTGCTCTGAACCAATTTATGAAATATCTGGAATCAAACAGATTACTGCCTAGCTATCAAAGTGCATATAGAAGAGGGTTCAGTACTGAAACAACTCTCCTGAAACTGTCATCAGACATTCTGTGGAAAATGGAAAAACAGGAAGTTACTGCCTTAGTCGCATTGCATCTCTCTGCTGCATTCGACACAGTCGACCATGCCATACTTAGCAACGTTCTAGAAACTACTTTCGGAGTATCTGAAGTGGCTCTTCATTGGTTTCAATCATACCTTTCGTCCAGGAAAGCCGAAGTGCATATCAACGCGTTTAAATCACAGCCTAGATGTCTGGACTTCTCGGTACCGCAAGGCAGCATATGCGGACCTGTGTTAAATACCGTGTACGCGAGTACGCTACAACATTATCATTATTAGGTTACGCAGATGACCACTCTGCATACGACAGTTTTAATCCGAAGAGTTTCGCTGATGAGAAACGTGTAACAACAAATTTAGAAAAAGTATTGGTTACCATCAATGACTGGATGAATCTGAACAAACTAAAACTTAACCCTAGTAAAACTGAATTTGTACTATTTGGCAGTCAACAGATGTTATCTCTATCATCTTCCATTTCCCTTAATGTAGTGGATACGGTTGTTAATTCATCTCCTTGTATCAAATATCTTGGATGTTATCTGGACGAAAATTTAACTTTCAAAAAATTTGTCAGTGAAAAATGCAAAACAATGTCATTGAATTTGTACTTGATTAAACAAATTCGCCAATATCTTAGTGAAGATTCGTGTAAACAAATTGTACAGTCCCTTGTCACTAGCCATTTAGATTATGCAAATAGTGTCTTGTACGGATTGCCAGAGTGTACCATTAAAAGACTACAGTTGTTGCAAAATCGTGCTGCAAAGCTTGTGTTGAAGCTGAGGTCCACGGATAGTTCGACTGAAGCACTCAAACGACTACACTGGCTACCGGTACACTACCGCATTAAATTCAAGCTTGTATACATTGTCTTCAAGTGCGTTAACAACAGTGACAGCCCTCAGTATCTTAAAGAAATGCTCAGTTTACGAACATCATCATATGGCATTCGATCCGTAAATCCTGCAGCGAAAACATTGAACGTCCCGTCCGTAAGACGCAAAACTTTTGCCTCTAGGTCTTTCGCGGTAGCTGGACCTTCGATTTGGAATGAGTTGCCAATGAACGTTCGAATGATGACTGATTTCTGTATTTTTAAACGACATCTTAAGGCGTTCTACTACACATGTGCTTTTAAATAACATTTAATTGTGAATACTAGTATATTTTATTTAATCAACCAGTGATCATCTAGACTTTATTTGAATATGCATTGTTTTTTATCATATGTATATATTCTGTTGTATGTACAGCGCCATTGATTGCAAACTATATGTAAAATTGAGCGCTTTAACAAATTTTAATAATAATTTTTTTAATAATATTTGACGTCTGGAAGACACATCGCGTTAATAAACAAGGGGACATTAGTATCCTCTCTGTATATCTTGGCATATTATTATTATTTTTTTGGCTATTGAAAGAAATAAAAAATGAAATTGCCTCATCTGAATCGAAACTCTAGATATCCTATGATCTTTTATGGTACATGTAGCTATGTCTGTTGGGACAGTAGGTAAGGCTACAATATGCAAAGACATGCTTACAACAACCTAAACAAAACAACGAATATCGTTTTAAAAATTCTGTTTATGCTATTTGTGAGCTTTGCGTTTAGCTAGGAGCCTAGGACAGAATCCTTGATTTAAGTTAAATAGCTTGATTTAAGTGGGCCCTACGTGTAAAATGATAAATGATCACTATAAAAGAAACAAAGGTTAGATTTTTGAAAAAAAAACTTTAAAAAGAAAGCCGTCTTAATTATGATATTGAATATAATTCAAAATATCTTAAGTTTTATTTTTGTAGTGTTTAAGTTAATTTTCATTCCTCTTTTTATTTTGACCGGACCGTCGGATAAAACTGTATAAACCGATGTCCCGTGTCGCCGTAGCTGCTGGCACGAAAAAGATCCCTCATTGCTCAATGACCCTAATTGCCGAGTATAGGCCAATATTTTAGCTCTCTGTCAGCAAGTGGTGGCGTCTCCATATGAGTGAAACAATTCTCGATAGGTATGTTAAACAACATACAATCAATCAAACAATCTTTATTTTGTAGGGCAATGATCACGTGATGGAGTACAACCACGTGCACCACACGTGTCAAAATAGTTCGGACTGCGGTGGTATTCACGCGGGGAGAGACTGGACGTGGGTATGTGTCATATTTTAGACCTTGCCTTTATAATGTCCTCGTTTAGATTTCGATAAAAAAATGAAACAGACATTCATATGTTACATGCTACAATTTCAAAAACCCCATATCACCTAAAATGTACACGATAAATGTACATGTATTTGTTTAATGTGAAAAGTTTGTATGCTTTGTTACTATAGAGGGGTAACATTATTCGCAAAAACCACATTCATCATACGCTTCGTTTCGTCCCCGGTGCAGATGTCAGGGGTATAATGTTAGATGACCAATA